ACATCCCCAGCCCTTTTTATATTTTATTTAGAGACTAGTTCTTGCTAACTTGTTTAGGGCCTAAGTTGCTGAGGCTGGCTTTGAACTTGCAGTCCTCCTACCTCAGCCTCCTGAGCAGCTGGGAGTATAGGCATGTGTCACCATGCTTGGCCTCACTCCTTTATATTTGAGACAGGGTCTCTTTAAGTTGTTGCTGAGGTTGGCCTCAAACTTGCCCTCCTCCTGCCTCAGCCTCCAAAATAGCTGGGATTACAAGTGGGTATCACTGAGTCCAGCTCAGTATTCTGATTTCTAGCTACAGATTAGTTTTGTCTCTTCTGGAACTTTATATAAATGCATTTGTGTAATATGTCCCATTTGGTGGCTAGTTTCTTTTGCTGAGCATGCCTTTTTTTCCCCAACCCATTACATTGTGTATATCAGTAACTCACTCCTTTTTATTATTGAATAGGAATCCATTGTATGAACACACCACAGTTTGTTTATCCATTAACTTCTGATAGATACTAGATTGTTCTGTGAACATTCTTGTAGAGTTCACTTTGTGGACATATGTTTTCATTTCTCTTGAGTAAATTCCAAGGAGTGGAATTTCTGGGTCACAGGGTGAGTGTATGTTTAACTTTATAAGAAACCGCTGGACTGTTTTCCAAAGGGGTTGTTCCATTTTACACTCCCAGTAGAAATGGAAGAGAGTGCGGCTAGTCTACATATTTCCAACAATTGGCATTTTGTCTTTTTAATTTTAACCATTTTAATGGGTGGTATCTTATTGTGGTTTTAATTTATATTTCCTTGGTGACTAATGAGGTTCAACATCTTGTTTGCTTCTTGGACATTAATATATATTTTGGAAAGTTTGTTCAAGACTACTACCTTTATTTATTATTTATTTTAATTTTATTTATTTATTATTATTATTTTTCTTAGAATTGGGAGTTGGTACAATTTTAGAATTGTTGCTGGGGGTTGAACCCAGGGTCATTTAACAACTCAGCTACATTCTCTACCCCTTTTATTTCCATTTTGAGACAGGATCTCACTATGTTGCTTAGGGCTTCACTAAAGTTGCTGAGGCTGGCCTCAAACTTGTGATCCTCTTGCCTCAGCCTCCTGAGTTGCTGTGATTACAGGTGTGTGCCACTGCACCCAGCTATCTTTTAATTATTAAATTATAGGATTTTACATATATATATATATATTCTGAGTATAAATTATTTGTCAGATGCATGTTTTATGAATATTTTCTCCTAGTGTGATTCTTCTTCTTTCTTTCTTTTTCTCTTTCTTTCTTTTTTTTTTTTTTGAGAACCAGGTATTGATCCAGGGCTTTACACATGCTAGGCACACAGTAAACGACATCTCCAGCCCTTTTTAAAGTTTTTATTTTGAGACATTCTCTCTAAGTTGCCCAGACTGGCCTCAAACTCCTGCCTCAGCCTCCTGAGTTGCTGGAATTACAGACAGGCCCTACCAAGCCTGGCTCTAGTGTGATCCTTAAAAACATTTTTAATGATGTCCTTTGATGTTTTTTTGTTTGTTTGTTTTGTGGTGTTGGGGATCCAATCTAGGGCCTCTCACATGCTAGGCAAATGCTCTATGACTGAGCTACAACACCAGCCGGCTTTCTGTGACTTAAAAAGTTTTTGTCCTCCCTTGGTCACAGTGATCGTCTCCTGTAATTTTCTTCTGGAAGCTCTAAGTTGCTAGGTTTCATGTTCAGGTTGATGACCAGTTCATATTAATTGTTGTGGATGGTGTGAGGAAAGGAATTGAGTTTTATTGTTTTTCTATAAGGTTATCCAGTTGTTCTTGCACCATCTGCTGAAGAATTTATTTTCCTCCTTGTGTATTTGTTGAAATGTTTAGGGTTTAAGCTGGGCGCAGTGGCTCACGCCTGTAATCCCAGCAGCTCCAGAGGCTGAGGCAGGAGGATCGCAAGTTTAAAGTCAGCCTCAGCAACAGTGAAGTGTTCAGCAACTCAGTGAGACCCTGTCTCTAAATAAAATACAAAATAAGTCTGGGGATGTGGCTCAGTGGTTGGATGCCCCTGAGTTCAATTCTTTATAACCACCCCCCCCAAAAAAAGAAATATATTATAAGTATTTGGGACTTTATTTTGTTCTATTGATTTTTTTTCGTCTTTCCTTATCTCAATATTATCTTGATTGCTATAAGCCTATAAAATAGGTACCATAAGTCTTCCAGGTTGGCTGATCTTTGTCAAGATTACTTGGGCCATTCTGGTTCCCAGGAGTGCTTAACCACTGCGCCACATCCCCAGCCCTTTTTATTTTTTTTATTTTGAGACAGAGTCTTGCAAAGTTGCTTAGGGCCTCACTAAGTTGCCAGGGCTGGCTGTGAACTTGCGATCCCCTTGCCTCAGACTCCCGAGTCACTGGGATTACAGGCATGTGCCACCATGCCCGGCTCTTTGCATGTTTATTAATGAATTTTAACATAAATTTTAGAGTGGGCATATCAGTTTTTACAAGAAAAAAGAAAGAAAGAAAAGGAAGGAAGGGAGGGAGGGAGGGAGGGAGGGTGCTAGATCTTGATTGGATGGCATTAGGGAAAAATTAATCCCCTAACGTTCGAAGCCATGAACGTGACTGTTACAAAGTGTGGAGGTCTGAGATTTCACCCTTCTTGCAAGCTGACAGGATAACCAGCCTTTCTTCTGTGCTGCTGACAGAAGACAAGAGGCCTGTGGTTGGAGATTCCCTGCCTGAGCTCCCTGTTCTCTTCCCTTCTGCCTCCCCCTGGAGTCCCACAGAGTTGACACAGAGTGGCTAGGGAGATGCTCCACACAGAGGGTGGTGTATGTCAGGGCCGAGGGGCTTAAGGAACCCATTTTTTTTGAGACTTTTTTTTGGGGGGGGTCTTGCTGTGTTGTCCAGGCTGGTCTTGGGTTCTTGGGCTCAAATGATCCTCCAGCCTCTGCCTCTTGAGTGGCCAGGATTACAGGCATGCACCACCACCCCAGCAAGGATCCTACTGTTTTATAGTAGGCTGCCAGCAAAGCTGCTTGGCCATTATCCTGGAGGAACCTTTTATCTTTATAATACTAGATGCAAACAGACCTGCCCTCTGTTCCCAGAGGACTCTATTGTCTTCTAAGTAGTTTGCTGTGCAAATATTCTTGAAAAGAGAATCCAGAATGAGAGCTCCCAGCCCTCTCTCTGCAGAAACTTCAGTGGAAAATCGTTATCTACTGATGGTATGTCTTTTTGTATTTGTAAAGGTATTTTTTTTTTTTTTGCCCCCTGTGGTACTGGGGTTTCAACCAGGGTCTCATGTATGGTAAGCAAGCACTTTACTGATGAGCTATGCCCCCAGCTCTATTGTAAGTCTTTTTAAATTTCTCTCAGCTAAGTTTGATTTTACAGTATAAGGTCATAGGTATCTTTCCATAATTTTATTCTTTTTCGGGGGGAGGGTACTGGGGATTGAGCTCAGGGGCACTCAACCACTGAGCCACATCCCTAGCCCTATTTTGAATTTAATTTAGAGACAGGGTCTTACTGAGTTGCTTAGTGCCTCACTGTTGCTGAGGCTGGCTTTGAACTCCCGATCCTCCTGCTTCAGCCTCCCGAGCTGCTGAGATTATAGGCGTGCACCACTGCACCTGGCAAGTTTATTCTTTAGTTTAAATATATATATTTTAGTTGTAGATGGACATAATCCCTTTATTTATTTTTATGTGATGTTGAGGATTGAACTCAGTGCCTCACACATGCTGGGCAAGTGCTCTACCACTGAGCTAAATCCCTAACATTCCCACTCCTTTCTCTTTTTCAAAAATTTTGAGACAGGGTCTTGTTACATTGCCAAGGTCAGCCTTCAAATCCTGATCTTCCTGCCTTAGCCTCCCAAGTACTTATTGCCTTTCTGTTTTTCATTTGTTGCACTTCGAGAACCTTTAGTACAAGGTTAAATCTAAAGCGGAAACAATGTAATATTTCACTGTCATACTGGGTGCTAGCTGTGTGCTTCTCAGGGACACCATTATTAGGTTGAGGATACTCCCTCTTGTTGCTAGTCAGGAACTGACACCTAATGGTGATGGGAAAGCCTCTGACAGCAGGCAGGTTGGCTGCAGCTTTTGTTCTGACCAGAATGCTCTTTCAAAGTGGGCAAAAGAGTTGTATTTCTTTTTTTTTTAAAATATTTTTATGTATATTTTTTAGTTATAGATGAACACACAGTATATTTATTTTAATGTGGTGCTGAGGATGGAACTCAGTGTCTCAGGCATGCGAGGCAAGCACTTTTCCACTGAGCTACAATCTCAGCCCCAAAGAGTTGTATTTCTAATATTTATAGATTAAGAAGATTCATTTTGTAGCTGTGTGCAGTGGTGCACACCTGTAATCCTAGCCACTTGGGAGGCTGAGGCAAGAGGAGTGCAAGGTCAAGAGCAGCCTGGGAAACTTGGCAAAATCTTGTCTCAAAATAACAAATACGAAGAGCTGGGGGAATAGCTCAGTTAGAGCCCTTGCCAAACATCAGAGATGCCCTAGATTTAATCCTCTCACTGCAAAAAAATTTTTAAAAAGTTATTTTTCTTTTTTGGTACTGGGGATTGAACCTGCGGGCACTTAACCACTAAGTCACATTCCTAGCCTTTTTAAAAAATTTTATTTAGAGACAGGGTCTCACTAAGTTGCTTAGGACCTTGCTAAGTTGCTGAGGCTGGCTTTGAACTTGCGATCCTCCTGCCTCAGCCTCTGGGATTCCAGGCGTGCACCACCACGGCCTCCAGCTCCAAAAATCGTTCTCATATTTGCCTTGACAGCCTCTTGCCAGTGTTCTGTTGACAGTGTGTTCTGATTTTTTTTGGAAATGCTTATTATTATAACAATAATGACATTAAGGGGAAATTTTAAAATGCATCCATCATCCTCCCTCTCATCGGTTGGAGGAGAGCCGAGAGATGGACGCTGGCTCCATCCTGTTCGGCATTCCAGGGTCCCCCTTGCCACCCCTCGTCCTCACAGGGAGACGACTTCGCGGGAAGGCGTTCTACAACGTGGGGGAGAAGGTGTACTGCCAGGAGGACTTCCTGGTGAGTGCAGGCTGTGCCCTTGGCCGTGCCATGGTGGGAGCAGGGGCAGGACTCCCTCTGACTCCCATGGAGGCCTCAGGCCAGGAGGCAGGTGCTGACTGGGCATCGAGTGCCCCTTTGTCATATGACGTCCTGCACCCTGTGTCCCCTTCCCAGTACTCCGGGTTCCAGCAAACAGCTGACAAGTGCAGCGTGTGTGGACACCTCATCATGGAGATGGTGAGACCCTCCCCTAGCCTCCTGGGGCCCCTCTGACACTGGCGGAGTCTGAGGACCCCACCCTCTCACCTGTTCCAGACCTGCCAGGGGCTCAGAGTCACAGCCTCCCCCGGGGCACTGCTGAGCCTTCTGCCCACGCTGACCCTTCAGTGCCTCCCACCCCCAGATCCTGCAGGCCCTCGGCAAGTCCTACCACCCGGGCTGCTTCCGGTGCTCCGTGTGCAACGAGTGCCTGGACGGGGTGCCCTTCACCGTGGACGTGGAGAGCAACATCTACTGCGTCAGGGACTATCACACGTGAGTGGCTGCTGCTGTGAAGCAGGCGTCACCCGGGCTGTCACCCCGGCTGTCACCCCGGCTGTCTCCCCGGCCTCCCGGGGAGCATTTTTTGGGCCTGGCTGTCTGTGTTTTCCATCCTTGGTCTGTCCTCTTCTGACCTGCCCTTGAACACTCTGATGTCTGCCTTGACCACTTCTCTCAGGCAGTTCAGCCACCAGCCGTGCCTGCCTCCGCCTGCGGGTGCCCTCTTCCAAGTGGAGGGGACTCTCCTAACTGCCCTCCCCACTCCAGGGCTGGGCTTCTCCCCCAGGATGGGACTCGAGTCCTGACAGACCCCTTCTCCTCTCTGTCTGGGGCCCATGATCCATTCCCCTTGCTGCGGCTCCAGGCCCAGGGTCGTCCTGTGCTGCTGCCTCTCTTGCATTGGTCCTGGCCACCTGTCCCTGGTACTCAGGGTGGAGCCAGGTCTCGCAGAGGTCTCAGCGGGGGTGAACCAAACCTGGACTTTAAGTGGCACGGAACTCCCAGGAAGCATGAACGAGATGGCAGGACAGATCCTGAGGGCATTCTGGAGGTGGGAGAGGGTGGAGGGGAACTGGGAGCCAGATGAAAGGGCAGTACCCAGAAGGCATAGCGGGAGCCAGGAAGCAGCCTGATGCTTGGGCCAAGCCTTGGGGCTGGGTGGGTGGACCTGTGTCCTTGGCCTGTGGTCACACTGTTGGTCACTTCTGGTTTCCTTTATCCCTCCAGGGTTTTTGCACCAAAATGTGCCTCCTGTGCCCGTCCTATCCTCCCTGCACAGGTAGGAACCAGTCACCAGGAGACAGATGCTGGCCCCCAGCCTCTGCCCAGCCCTGTCTGTCCTGCCTCAGATCCTAGGCTGAAGTGGGAGGGATGACTTCTGCTCCACATCCCTCAGGGACACGGGACACGTGTTGGGCCCAAACACACGGGAGCAGGTGTCCCTCGTGTGGAGTCCCGGGAAGCGGCAGGCCCTGCAGCCTGGCTGCCCCACTCCTTCCCCGCTCCTTTCTCCGTGGAGGGAGGTGGCTCCTGGGTCTGCTGAACTCTGCAGGTTGAGGCTGGGTGGGTGGGGGAGGCTGAGGGAGGTCTGGGCAGCTGCCAGCTTGGGACACAGCGGCCATCTCAGGGCCAGGCTCTGCCCCGTGAGCTGTCTGTCCCGGGCTGCTGCCTGGACAAGCAGGGCTCAGGGTGACCTTCCCTGCCTCCAGAAGTGAAGGTCACACACACTCACATGGACACCCTGTGACACCCTGTGACACTCACAACACCCGAGGAGCTGTTGGCCATGGCGGTGGGGGGGCCTGAGGCCTGTGCACTGATGTGGCCTCAGGAAGCGCTGGGTCTGTGCCCGCAGGGTAGAGTGCTGGGCCGGGTGACAGATGAGTGGTGCAGACGGCCAGGTATGCACTTGGCACAGTCTACCTCCAGGTCCAGCCAGTGAGCTGCTCACGTGTCTGTCACTCTTCCTCCAGGGCTGTGAGACCACCATCCGCGTGGTGTCCATGGACAGAGACTACCACGTGGAATGCTATCACTGTGAGGTGAGCCCGGACCCCCTAGAAGGCCTGTGGCCGGGGTGGTCCCTTCCTCTTCAGGTCTCCTTCCCCACGGTGTCCTGCAGGCCTCCTCTTTTACGGCTCCTGCTCCATTCTGCCTGTCTCCTCTCAGCACTCTCTGCCAAACCCCCCACCCAGCCCCCGTTTTCTCATTTAATCAGATATTTGCTATTTGCAGTTTATGGGGTGCTACAGTTATGACAGCATCATCAGTTCCTGCTGCCCAGGAGGGATGTCCACTCAGCTATATTTGCCCAGGGTGACGGGTGCTGTTCAGGGAAGGGCACAGAACACAGGGGAGGCCTTGGAAAATCAGGGAAGGCTTTCTGGAGGAGGTGACACCAAGCCAAGACTTGAATGATGAATAATAAGAGCCAAGAAGGCATTGAGATGGGCTGGGGCTGAGGCTCAGAGGTAGAGCACTTGCCTGGCATATGTGAGGCCCTGGGTTTGATCTTCAGCACCACATATAAGTAAATGAAATAAAGGTCCATTGATGACTTATATATATAAAAAAAGGCAGTGAGAAGGGCATTTCTAGGCAACAGAACCAAAATGTGCTTAGGTACAAAGGGAGGATGGTGGTTTTTGTGTCATTGGAGAAGTGAGCAGGAGCTGGGGACAAAATGACACAGGAGGGACTGAGTTTTGGCTCCGTGGTAGAGCACTTGCCTAGTGTGTGTGGGACACTGGGTTTGATCCTCAGCACCACATGAAAATTTAGAAAATAAAAGTATTGTGTCCATCTACAACTAGAAAATATAAAAAACAGAACAAAAGGACACAGGAGCCTAAGGAACGTGGACTTAGCCTGAGGACAATGGAGACAAAAAGGACTGACAGGTTGCTCTGGATTGCAGAGAAGACACACTTCCACGCAGAGAGTGGAAGCGGGTGCAGTAGGGAGGTCCTGAGGAGGCTGCCAGAGTCAGGGCTGTGGTCCTGGGTTCAGGGACATGGACAGACCTGAGGAAGGCAGGAGAAGGGACTAGACTTGGAAGGTAATTGGATGTAGGAGTTCAAGGGGAGGGAAGTCCACCAGGACTCCAGCAGAGAGTGTGACAGTCAACTTTCTGTTGCTGTAACAAATACCCGAGACAATCAATTTATAAAGAGAAAAGGTTTATTTTTGGCTTATAGTTTTAAGAGTGTTCAGCCCCTGATTGGTTGGCTGTGTCATTTGGGGCCTGTGGTGGCACATCATTGGGGGGAGTGTGTGATGGAGCAAAGCTGCTGACCTCTTGGCTGGGACACAGAAGAGAAGGAGGAAGAAGCAGTGTGTGTGGGGTTCAAAGTTCTGTTGAAGGTGTGCCCTCAACCTGGGGGTGTTCCACCACCCAGCTGCATTCCCGGCTCTTTTTTAATTTTTTGAGACAGAGTCCTGCTAACTTGCCCAGGCTGGCCTTAAGCTTATGATCCTCTTGCCTCAGCCTCCTGAGTGACTGGGATGGCAGGAATGTGCCACTGCACCTAGCCTTAAACCCGTTAGGGGTTCCGCTGCCTTCCAGTGGCACCCTGGGCTGGGCCTTGGGTGCTGTTCCACATCTAGGCTGCAGCAGTGATGGCGCCTGAGGAGGGATGAGCTCCTCTCATATTTGGTAGCTGGAGACTCCAGATGTCTGATGGACTGAATTCCAGATGTGCTGGAATCAGACTCCGCCAGCAGCTGTAGGAATTCCGGAGAGATGGGCAGTGGTAGGTTATCTCCTGGCCTCCCTTCTCAGGGATCACTGACTGCCTTGTTTGCTGTCGTGGGTCTGAGAGTCACTGTTCATATAAGGAGCCTGTTTTGTTTACAGTCAAAGTCACAGGGGAAGCCAGACACCGTGGCGCACACCTGTAATCCCAGCAGCTTGGAGTTCAAAGCCAGCCTCAGCAGCTCAGCGAGACACTGTCTTTAAATAAAATACATAAAAGGGGCTGGGGATGTGGCTCAGTGCTTAAGAGCCCTGGGGTCCTTCTCTGGTGCAAAAAAAAAAAAAAAAAAAAAAAAGTTTGGAGGGGAATCCAATTCTTATCACTGCCACAGGGGAAGGGGGACTTGTCAAGGGAACACGTGGCAGTGGAAGCCGGGGAACAGATGAGGCCTCCGGGGAACAGATGAGGCCTTCCAGGGAGGGTTGTAGAGGGAGGAGAAAATCCCAGGAATACTGGTATTAAGGGGCTGGAAAGGGAGGACAGAGGAGTGGTAGGAAACCAAGGAGAGTACGTTGGTTACAGAGTCCCAAGGAGAGAAGGGGGGTCTGCAGTAGGAACAGTGAGGTGTTTGGTGGGGGCAGAGGGCCCAGTGGGAGCAGAGTCCTGCTGGGGGACCCAGGAAGGAGGAGGAGGAGAGCTGTGGTCTCTAGAGGGGCCATGGCTTCCCCTCCAGCACTAACAGGGCCTCAGTGTCCCTCTGCCTGCTTAGCCATCCCAGGGGCTCTAGTGTCCCCCTGGAGTCACTGACCACAGTCCTTGGCCAGTGGCTGAAGCCCAACAGGCTGCTGGGGCCTGTTGCCCCTGCCCCAGGCTGTGGGTGGAGCTAGGGGTCCAGCCTCCCTTCCTCCTCCCCCCTGGTGGACAGGGGCAAGTAGCAGGACAAGGTAGGGGTGTGAGGAAGGATAGGAGAAGACCTGCAGCAGGAGTGACTTGGGACCTGGGGCTGTGACTTCATGGTGACAGCCCAGCCCATCGGTGGGAGTGGGGCAGGCTGGGTCTCAGAGGCTTTGTGTCACGTTACCCCCTCCCCCCTCTGGTGGGGCTCTAACCCAGGTCCCCTTCTTGCACACTAGGCTATGTGACATACTCCAGCACTGCACCATGCCCCCAGTCCCTCTAAGGTCGCTCTTAAAGCCGCTTAGGTCAGACATTCCGCTCCCCTGATGTGGAGCACCTCCTGCACACTGGCCGCCCCTCCTCCCCGGCCCCCTCCCCGTCCCCAGGACCACCGGGTTTGGTTTTCCTCGCTTGCATTTTCTCCTCGGGTCTCTTTTGCCTCTTCCTCTGCCGAGGCTCAGCTTTTTGTCCCCTCCCTCCTAGGGCCATATCCATCTACTTACTCTTGGTGTCCAAGAGGCACCTCCAGTGCGCACAGGGGTCCTTGTCCTGCCCCTGGCAGAGTGCCAGCCGTGTTGTCCAGAGCCTACCGATCTGTTTTCACTCCCTGACCTCCGCTTGTCCTAGTTGTGCCCCCTCCCCTCTTACTCTGGTGTCCCCGCCTGTGTTCTTTCCTAGGACTGCGGGTTGCAGCTGAGCGGAGAGGACGGACGCCGCTGTTATCCCCTGGAGGGCCACCTGCTGTGCCGACGCTGCCACCTGCGGCGCCTGGGGCACGGCCCACTTCCCTCCCCCGCTGTGCACGTCACTGAGCTCTGAGCTGGGGCGGGGTGGGCGTGGACGTGGGAGGAGGGAGGGTGGCCCTGGTCAGTGTCCCGTGGGCCCTGCTGCCGCTTCCACCCGCTCCATCCCACACCCGCCCAGCTGCTGGCCTGCCGCAGGGGCCGGACCCCCGCGTTGAAGCTACTTCTATTTATTCACCGTCTGTGCCTCCCCAAGCCACTTCCCTCGGGTGCCCTGCTGCCTCCCACCTGCCCAGTCACCAGCTTTCGGTTCCAGGACTCCCTGTGCGCCTGCAGCCTCCTGGGCTGTGGGTCGCTGGGCAGGAAAGGTGGAAAGGTCCTCCTTCCTTGGCCGGGACTCTCCACGGGGTTTCCACTTTCATTGGTTCCGAAGGCGCCTGGGACCCCCTCCAAGCGTGCGCCCCGGGGTCGCGGAGGGCACGGGTCGGCTTGTGTTTCCTAAGTGCCTTGCCCGCTGGTGGGTGAGGAGGGTGACTTGTTTTTGTGGGAACATTGTGGGATTTGGCCATGGGGGGCTCGAGGGTGTTTTCAGCCACAGTTTCCCCTGCCCTGGCCCCTGGCTTGGGCCTTGCCCCTCCCCACCATCCTCAGCCCCCGGCCGGGACCTCGCGCCCAGCTCCAGCCGCAGGTGGGGGCGAGGAGCGGCCGCGAGGGGGCGCACTGCGCGCCGGCCCGGGAAGCTCCTGTGCGCGCGCGCTGTGTACCAGGCTCCACTACAAACGGATGTGATTTGACTTAAATTAAGTTTTTCCTTTGAGGATATTTTCATTTTCTTTAAAAGAATATAGTTTTCTTGTAAGAACTTGGACTGGGGTGGTTGTTTCTTAAAATTACAGCAGACTCACAGAGGTCTTATTGTATACCACACAGCTGGATTTGGGGTGGTAACAACATTGTCCCTTAACTATTTTTGTGTAAATTCCTCCAAAACCTCACAAGGTGTACCTGCATTTCAGAACTTAGTAGCAAAGGAGGGTATTGTGTGTCACTGTCTTAAGAGCTGTGACCTCATAAACTGTGTTTTGGGGAATGTAGATTCGATTTTTTTCTTTGAAACACACATGAGCATTGGGGCCCAGATTTTTCACTGACCCGTGATGTTGGATTTACACTTGGAGGGGGTGGGGAGTTGGGGGGCTTTGGTCATGACCAACTGTGGTTGGTTTTCATGGACTGTTTTGAATGAATGAGAGCACCACCACCTCCTCTTGGCTGCTGTTCTTGCGCGCGCGCGCACACACACATACACACACACACCATTACAGGGGAGGTCTCCTTGCTTGTAGAATCATTAATCTGCCAAGATCAAGGTGCTAGGAATCCCAACCGGATGCACGGGAGAGGACAGCAGGACAGTGACATCCAGTCCCTGAGGCCTGGAGCTGGGCGGCCCCCTGGTGGGCGGGAGAAGCAAGTACATGGAAGTTTGATGGTGGCTAATAAATTACTTAATGCAGTAATTAAGTTATGAGATACGGGAGGTGTCCCTCCAGAGAAGGGGACTTCATCAAAACCAGAAGACTGAATCCCGGGAGTGCGAGGCTCCGTTTCTGGTGCTTGCTTCTTTTGGAGCCGGGTGCTTTGCTTTCTTGCCAGTTCATTGCAAAGCTTTCTTCTGAGTGCCCTTCTTTGCTGTCCCATTTCATACCTGCTTTGGCTGCGATTTCTCCTTGTCCCAAACTCAGTCCAACTCTCTTCCTCTGTCTGCGGTGGAGGTGGTCCCTGCTCTCTGGCGGTGGGGGTCACCACTGCCCTCCATGCCCCTCCATCTTGGTTCCATGCTCCCCTGACGCAGGTGGACTGAGTCCCCACCATCTGGAGCCCCCGTACTTTGTCAGGATCAGAACCAAGGCCATGCCTCATTTCAGGGCACCCTGCCCTTTCTCTCTGGGCCCCATATGGCCTTATGTCAGGACTGGTGACAGTCACTGTACCCTACTGCAGAGCCACTACCTGAGCAGTTCCCCTGCCTGGAGCCACTGCGCCCAGTGCTCTCATTTCTCATCACATCCTTCAGATCTCAGACACCCTGAAGTCAGGCTCCATTACTACACTCCAGTGACACTTAGAATTTTGGGCCCCTCCAAGTTTATTTAATAAGAGCAGCATCTCCAGTCCGTTTTCAGGAGTTACATTGATCTGGGACTGAGGGAATAGTGTGAGAGCCTGGAAGATGGGCTGGACCTTCCCAGACCCACCTGTTCCTAGGATATCTCCCTGGCAACACCTGCAGCTGTGCCTTTGTACTTTCATGTATCTGAGCAATAATTCTCTTGACATCCTTCTCCCCATTAGGTAGTGAGCCACAGACAGAGAGGCTCTGTCTTGGCCACGTTTGTCTCTGCAGTACCTGGTGTGGGGCTGGTACTATGGCCAGAGCCAGAGGTGCTCTGCTTAGCCACGCCCCCTTTGATTAGCATGCCCAAATTTAGTCTGAACTGTCCAGTGAAGGAGCCATAGGCAGTCTACAAAGGCCCAGGAGCAAGGGTTTACACAAATACTATGCACACATGCACATAAAATTTGTGCCCGTTTGCCACATGCAATATGTGTACAAAGGTGCCTTAACATGGGGCCTCTGTTCAGCACTCATGCCCAGGGGACAGACCCTTGGGTGCTGGGTCTGCTGCTGCTGCTCTGTGTATATATATGAGTGTGTGTGTGTGTGTGTGTGTGTGTGTGCGCGTGTGCACGCGTATGAAGGTGGGGAGAGAGAAAGAGAGAAGGAGAAAGATTGAATATTTGAGACAAAATGAGAGGCTGTGAGGGAGCGGTCAGGAGACTGGGGGAGAGGATAGGAGACGGAGAAGGAGAGGTGGAGAGGGAGCCTGGGTGTTGGAGAGAATGGTGTGGAGGGGGATGGAGGGAAAGGGAGACTGAACTCCTGCAGCGAGGCCAACAGAGCCTGGAAGCCACCCCCTTCCTAAGGGGTGGGGTTCCCCAGAGCCAGGAGATTTGGAAATATTTGGATGGGTTCTCGGCCTTAGTCATTCTGCTCAGGAATCTTCTGCAAATGGAAAAGGCCACCTCCTCTAAGTGACCAAAGCTATGGGGTGTGTATGTGTGTGTGTGTGGTGGCTGGGTCAACGGTGGGCTCTTGGAGCATCCTGGGTCTTGGGCATAAGGTGTCCTCACAGCCCCAGGGTGGGCAGGGTAGTTCTGCCCTCTGAATACACGACTCTCCCACAGATTCTACATCACCTGCCTGAAGTTACCTCTCCCACCCACCTGTCGTGGTCACCTGTTGAACAGCCAGGTTGCTCCCCTCCCTGTGCCTGCACCTGGGCTCCTCCTTGCTGGGTCAGCCCTGCAGACCCTGGGTTCCAGGCAGAGAGAGGCCTGACATTCACTTACCCTCTTTGCTCTGGGGTCCCCATGTTCCAGTGAGGGTTTCCAGCTACCTTCAGCCAGGCTCCCTGCCTAGCCCCCCGGCCGGGTATTGCCACATGACTCAACTGCATGGGCCTGAGCCAGAATGTGTCCCTGTGGCCAGAGTGGGGCCTTGAGTCTCAGCTTGTTCCCGAACCACACTTTCCCACAGCCCTGCCCAGCTTAGCCTCCTCTTTCCACCTCCAACAACTTGTCCAGTCTGACCCTGGGAACTGGGGGGGCTCTATGTGGGGGACAGCTCTCGTGGGCGGATGTGAGGGACCCCATGGCCAGGTACAGAGCTGGGAACAGAGTCTCCTTCAGAGCACAGCAGTCGGGGCTGGAAGACCTGTGCCTGCTGACCCAGGGCATGCAGGGGTCAGGAGCCACCTATGGGAAGAAGACAGCAGAATCCCTGGGGTGGGGATGGGGGAGTCTCATTGCTAGGGTCAGTGGGGAAGGGCGGCACTGACCTGTGGTTTGGACAGCTCCTTCCTTCCCACCCCCACTTCCCTTCCTTCTTCCTTCTCTGTTCTTGTTTACAAAAACATGAAGGCTTTATTATACTTGATCTGACTTCTGGGCTGAGCAACTGGGTGATGTGTGGGAGTGCGAATCTACAATTCTGGTTTGTCCAGGAGACAGGCGGCACGAGGAGTGGGCAGTGGGAGACATCAGTCCGGAGCTTAGGGGAGAGTCAGGGCTGAGTCACACCAGGGAAGGCAGCTGTGGCTAGAAGCCTTTGAAGTTGAGAATGAGATCACATGGATCGAGGGTGAGACCAGAGGTGCCACGGAGGGCAGAGGGGACAGTGAGGCTGGGTGGCAGGGAGTGAAGGTCGAGTAAGGTGGTGTGAGAGATGAAGAGGGCTCAGGAAGGAAGGGGGCGGTCAGTCATGGGGCTGCTGAGAGAGGAGGAGCAGGGTGAGCAATGGTGTTGGAAAGACGGAGGTCATGGGCCACCATGAATATGTGACAGCCACTTCAGTGCAATAATGGCGAAGTAGATCAGAGGCCACTGAGATATGGGGAGAGAAGGAAGTGGGGGAGAAACTGATTATTCTTGAGCATGTTGGGGAGAAGTACAGCTGCCGATGGGGGCTTTGGGGTTGGGCGAATTCTTTTAGGATATTGTGTTCGTCAGCTTTCTGTTACTGTGACAAATATCTGAGGTAATCAACTTATAAAAAGGAAAAGTTAACTGGGCATGATGTGTGCCCTTATAATTCCAGTGACTCCGGAGGCTGAGGCAGGAGGACTGCAAGTTCAAAGGCAGCCTCAGCAACTTAGTGAGGCCCTAAGCAACTTAGAGAGACCCTGTCCCAAAATAAAAAATAAAAAGGGCTGAAGGATGTGGCTTAGTGGTAAAGTGCCTCTGGGTTCAGTCCCTAGTACCCGCCCCGTCCCGCCCCACCAAAAAAAAAAAATAGAAAAGTTAATTTTGACTCACAGCTTTGGGGTTTGGTCCATGATTGATTGGCCCCGTTGTTTGGGGGCTCATGGCAAGGAGGCACATCATGGGCACAGCGCAGGGCAGAACTGCTTGCCCCATGGCCAGAGAGCACAGAGAAAGAGGAATGTCTTACTATCTGCCGGGTTTCTGTTCTCACGACTAAAAGGCTCAGGGGTCGCTCTAGTTAAACTGGGCTAACTGGGCTGCACGAAATAACCACACAAGAGGCACAAATATCTTTTTCTTTGGGGTCGCTGCGACGGCTCCTCTGACCTTAAGGATCTGCAGGAAGAGAGAGAGCGAGAGCACGCGCTGACCCCTTTTATTGAGGAGAAGCTATTCAAATGAGGCAAGGGGTCAGGTTTCAGGGGCTGAGTATCTTCATGATGTCCACTGTCAGCAGGTTGACTGACACCTGGGTAGGCCACACCCAAGGGCACAGTAAGAGAAGGGGACACCCACAAGGCACTTCCATGGAAGATTCTCTCCTAAACAGGGCAAGGGGTTATATTACAAAGGAACAGGTGAGTGTAGCTTCACCCATGGGGCTGTAGGAAGGCACACCCATGCACGAGACACCGACCCTCGCACCCAAGAAGAGTGCCACATTTCTGTGACTGAGAGCCTAAGCCCCCAGCCGGGAGTGTAACTCAGTCACGTGTGAGGTTGGCCTCCCACAACTATCCCCTCCAGGGGCACATCCCCAGTGACCTGAAGATGTCCTGCTCGGCTCCACTATTTTCCCCCCCCAGTTCTGGAGATCAAGCCCCGGGGCTTGTAAGTATTGGGCAAGTGCTCTACCATGGAGCTACAGCCCAGCTCTTTTAAAAAAATATATATATTTTTAAAATTTGAGACAGGGTCTTGGTAAGTTATCCACACTGGTCTCAAACTTTCGATCCTTCTGCTTCAGCCCTCTGGGTTGCTGGGATCACAGGTGTGTGCCACAGGGCCTGGCCTAGGCACCATGTCTTCAAGGTTCTACCATCTCAAATAGCACCAGGCTGGAGACCCAGTCTTTTATATACATATAATATATTATATATATACACATAATATATTTATATAATATAAATGTATTATATTTATATATTATATATAATATATTTTTCTATCTATCTATCTATTTATTTATTTATTTTCATGTGGTGCCAAGAATCACACCTAGTGTCTCACACGTGCTAGGCAAGCGCTCTACCACTAAGCTACAACC